GCGATCCCACGCTGGGATCCGACTTCATTTTTGCATGCAGACTCGATCAAGATCGGACATTCAAAATGTTCAAGAATCAACAAGGCCAAGGCACAACAATGCAATTGGACATCTAATGGTTGAAGTTGCATTCAAACACCTGTGAATTTAGCGCGTGCCCGCCAACACCCATAGCTTCTCCTAGAGAGGCATGTGCCCATGTGGGTCCCGGTGTTACGAGGCTACAACGTCAGTTGGTGCCTGTCATGGGCGTGCGAATGAGAAGGCTACTCTTCATGCGTGCGCACATCCTGACCCCAGCATTCTTGCTACTAGTAACAAAGGGCATCGCTACTAGGAGCAAGGACGCTACTAGAGGCTCCTGGCTCCTGGCCTTACTACTAGGAACAAGAAGCCATGGTAGGGCCCCTGCCGGTAGCGAGCGCTGGGCATTGCGGGGCATCGTGTGACCAAGGGCAGGTCACGGACGTCCAGCCAATCTTCCCAGCGGCGGGTCTGCGCAGGACCACCGGTTGGCGAGTCTGCACTTCCTTGCTTTCTTGCTTGAACACTTGGTCCCTTTCACGTTGTGCCTTTTTTTTTTGTGTGTGTTTTCGGGTATTTCTCTTCTCATCATTTCTCGTCAAGAAAGCGTTGGCATGGTTAAAATCGGTCAAATGCAACTGACTTTACAAACTTCGGCCGGGCCTGAGAGCCGTTTTCTGGGCATTTGGTCACAAAAGGCAGGTCATCCTCCTGACCAGGATTGGCACCCGGCTGATGGTGAGCCACTCGACTTCCGTGCGGTACTGACAAATTCGGTGGAGTAGCAAAGCCGGTCTGCTTGATGGAATGATATGGAATGTAAGAAGCATAATCCTTAAGAATTGAATGGATGCTTGCAGAATGTTGTCCATGTGGTTGGGCAGTCTGTTCCCAGTTTCAGGAATCCTCTTGATTACTTGCCTGCCAACAGTATCACACATATCACGATCATTCATGATCTATGAAATTTCTGGCGACGTCTCGTCCTCCTCCTCATCGCTGTCCTCCTTCTGGTCACATCCTGGTGCTGTAAGGGTGTATCGCAGGAGCACTGTTTGGTTTGCGCGGACCCACGGCATCTTCTCGATTCTTGGATAATTTTGATTATATGGTTCTCGTGCTGCAAAACTTAGGAAAACTCACCGCGCACGCCGAATCATGATACAGCACGACACGGCACACTCTTCCAAGTGACGTGATGCCAACGAGCTTTCACCAGCGAACCTCAGTCAAGTGACTTGCGCAACCGACTCTTCACTCATAGAAGGGGGTGCGGATCAACCGCCCAGTTTTTTTGAGAACAGCTGGCTGCACCAACTCCTTCAGTGCAAAGCGTGCAAAGCGTAGAAAATCCAGTTTCGATAATGTATCATTTAGATGACACGCCCCTGTGCGGAGGACTGTCTGGGAGAAAGGCCTCTCTTCTGGCTGCACCCATGCTTTTCCCTTCAGATTTGGAGGGCTCGCGTCCTTGCACTGACGACTCAGGTGTAGAAAAGCCAGATGAAACATCATGAAACATGTAAATGTAATATGATACTAGTATGATGACATATGGCTGTGGGTCAGGATACCTTATGATAAAGGTCAAGCATATGGTGTTGGGGCTCCAGGTTTTGACCCACCCCCATAGAGTGACGTGTGTCTCGTTCCTTGCCTGGGTCTGCTATAATCCACTAAGAACCGAGTTGCTACCCCTCCCATCAGTGGACCATCTCAAGCTTTTGACCCCGTCCTCGCACCACATGGCAGAACGACGACGTGAATCCTTCTGAACTTGTGCGATGGGCAACATAATCCTCGGTTTAAAAAGCTGAGGCATGTGTGATCCTTTGCATCTGGAAAACCCGCAGCATGCAAAGCTGTTTACCTATGTTTACCAACAATTCCACTTTTTGACGCGATGGACTGGGCGTGCTTTTAGTGAGTCTTCGTGAATTTCTGACAGTCTCTTTGCTTTTTGCCTGCATGTGGGAATGCTATGACCAGCTTGAGTCCGTCATGCCAGTCTCCAGTGCAGCTTGGGCTTCCCGGCATCTCACCCTCACTGTGATGCATGGTGCTCCCAGTGGCTGCACCCGGTAAGACCATCTGCACTCCTGGCGCCCGGCCTCCCCGGTGGCCTGCGTAGGTTCGACCATTCTCCACCTCTGTGTTGAGGTCAGAGAAGCTAATCTTCGTGAAGCCTCGAAACGAAGCAACAGGGTCCCAGAGGCCGAACATAGACTTGGTCCCAGAAGCAGTGAAGCAAAACTCTCAACCCCCACATCCAAGCAATCCCTCTCTAAGCTCTGGCCTTTCCCCAAACGGAAAGCCTCAGCATTCGGAGGCTTCAGGACACAAGAAGGACCCAGCATCTGGGCTCAAATCCTTCCAAAGGAGTGACATGTGCAATTATGTGAAACGATACAAATCGGGGAGGCTGGTTGCATAAATCATCTTGAAGACCTTCGGACACTCTCAAGGTCGCCAAGTGGCCCCTCCACGAGCAGTCCGTGCCCTGCAAACATGGAAGCTTTCAGACTTCCACATCACAGAGTCATGGTAGCCATGCATCATAGCAAATGTAAGTTTCCCTAAAAAAATCAGGAACCAAATCATTAGCGTGTATTGCTAGTAGCTTACTTCTCCCTTACTTCATTAAGTAGCATTAAGTAGGTGCCTACTTCTTAAGTAAGGGCGGGGCGGGGTACAGTAATCAATAAAGTTATGTACGCAGGAGCTGCTCTTTCGCTGTTTGGCTCTTTACGTGTCTAGTTCTTTCGACGCTTGAATTCCACACTGCTGATCAGCTCGCCGCGCTCGCCTCTTCCAAAAACCTTTCACTGATGTTTTCACGTTGGCCACCCATGGGCTGTGGCACGATGGCATCGGCTGCCGTAGCAAACTATATGATATGGTCTGCAGTTGTTGCAGAAATGCCTAGATGCAACAGCAGTTCAATACCCTGACAGCTTTAGAATCCTCCCCGGGTTGACTTCAGCCACTCCAACTTCTGCAGACCTTCTTTGATGCAAAGCACAAATACACTGGCAATTCCTTGACACTCAATATATAATTAAAGCATATTATAGCCGCACAGGCTTGCACCTGAGATGCGACAGCAACACAAAAGGCACCAAGAGAAGCCACACGAGACACAGGACATCCACGGGGCACGAGATCGGTAGCAGCCACAGAAGCCGCACACTTTTGCGCAAAAATCCACCAACAACTCTGGGCCACCAGCCGTTCAGCTGCAATGCTTAGCCACGGTCCCTGAGGTCAAATGTACGTGCTTTGACTGCAACTCTTTTCGCTTGCAGCCTGTAAACTTAGTAAACTTACCCCTTTCCAGAAGGATTGGAGCTCAGTGTGTCCGCTAGGTCTGTCATGTTGTCTAGGTCTGCAAGAACTTTCTCGAGCCAGCCTGGATATACGTTGTCTCTCTTCCCTGGCACAAAAGAAGGGTGACGTGTTTCGCTCTTTGCGTCTCTCGCTGCTCCGATTGCAGCTAAGCCAGCGTGGTGGCGATTTGTGTCCTTAAACTGTCTTGCGCTGCGCCGCTGCGCCGCTCGCGCGCTTCGTGGTGTCTTCGAACGGTCTTGCGCCGCTGCGCTGCTACGCCAGTGCGCTGTGATATATTTTTGTTTTTGTCCTTGATGCGCCGATACGCCTCTGCGCCGATACACCTCTGCCCCGCTGCGCCGCTGACCCCCGTTGCCTACCACCAGTGCAACGATTCCAAGTCCTTCCACTTCCCACTCAAACGTACAGTCTGAACCTGGTACAATATCTCAAAACCTTTAACCGCTTGAAACGTGGCGCTTGGCTTGCGAGACTGTTCTGCTCACCGACCGGCACTGAGTCGGTGACCTCTGAAAAATAGCTTGCTACCAAATAAGCAGTAACTGTATAGCAAAGTGTTACTACTACTAGTAGTGTCTTGCTACTAGTAGGCACTTGTTAGCAATGCCCTTGTTACTAGTAGCTTCTTGCTACCAGTAGGGATCCGTAGTAGTGCAGTCGTTACCAGTAGCGATGCCCCTGCTACTAGTGGCATAGTGAATGATTGTTTTTTATTGCACTGCACAGACAAGAGCACCCATTTCCAGGTAAAGTCACGATCACCTCATGATTGAATTCATGGGGTAAAAATAGGTAAAGAAGTGTGAAAGACCCTGCTGGCCCGACGAAAAGCCAGTGGGTTTCAACATTTTCATCAAAGCAGCTCCGTCTGAGGGTTCAGCTTGGGCTCCAACATGTTGAGGTTGAGCCTCAGTTTCAGGATGTAAGCCAGGACCGTCGGTGGCTTTGTGCCCATGGCCTATTCATGCCTATTTAGTTCACATTGGTTCACTATCTTTCTCGGCCGGCGCTATTGTTACGTTGCTGGTGCTGCAGCTGACGTAGTATTGCCACCACTACCCTCACTACAAACAGTCAGGGTACGAGGTATGAGTACTATATAGTACTATTGTATACTATTGTCAGTTGTTGTTTTGGATCCGGGGTCAAACAAACGGCGCTGCAGTCTTGTTTCTACACCTGTAGAATGTAGAAAAAATAAAGAAGAGGTGTGTTGACGGGGCTGCAGTTTTTGTTGGTGTTGTCGTCGCTGTTGGTTGAACGGACTGCCACGTAACATCAAGCCATTGCAGCCCTGCATCCAAGATTTGTCGGAGATTCGGGGATCATGGGGCGTCGGACATCCACTTGATCAACTCTGTCAAGCTCAAACGCCTGAAGACGACCATGTCAAAGCTCCAGAGTACAAGCACCTGTTGGGCAGCAGGAAGTGTTTGCGTGGCTACTTTACAACAAAACTGACTTAGCTACCACATCGATTATCAGCTGTCTAGACTATTCTAGACTCACTCTAATCTTAGGACTGGCATAATTACATTGCTCATCCACTTGTCAACCAACAAAACATAGCACACATGCACGCTATGCGGAAATCCTTATACGGGTGGCCTGGCACGACTTGGGTCTCCTCAGGTGTAGGCAACGTGCTGCAAGAGGGCCAAAGCTTGCTGCCACTGACCTGGGTGCAAAAGAATGTCAAGGAATGCGAGGCTGTTTGCGAGCCGTTTGTACTCGAGCCTGCCTGGGGTGGTGCCACTTGTGCCACCTGTGTTAATTGTTGGGACGAGTTTCAGGCCTTTCGCATCCTTTCGCCACATTGACCTCTGATTCATGCTTCTTAAGTCTCAATTCTTCCCCCTCACCCCCTAGCCCTACGGTCCTAACGTTGCTCGCTGAACATCCACGAGGAATTCACATCTTGTTTCCAGTTGGATCTTCCATGATCCCAGCATACTCAAGCTTTGCACATTACATCTGTGAGTTGCATGATTTTTGGAATTGGACTGGGCATGCACCATCGTGCTCAGCAAGATCGCCAGCGTCCCGCAAGAAGTTTGTTGTGTGCATTGGCTGGTATAAAATAAGGTTCACACTTGCAGCCTGATAAGCAGCAAAGATCTGGCGGTAGATCCCTTCGTTCGGCCTTCAGAAAGGTCGAGCGACGTTGCATTAAACTGCATTGGTAGCAGCATTTGAATTGGCTCTGGCCAACACATCGTCCATATAAGCTGTGCTTGCAATCGTTCGCATGTCTGGATCTTCCAGCAATCATCTACTTTAGGAAGGGGTGGTCTCGCTGCAGTGCCACTGGGGATTACGATCGTCACCATTCCAGAACAAACTCTTGAATAGTTTCATGTCATGTAGGTGTGAGCTTTGCTGGCTTGAGATCGTCTTCCAATTTCATCAGTTCGTGCCTCGCTTACACTCTTTGGGGTCTGAGGTGTGGTACTTATCACATCACCTTTATCATCCAATTATCACTTTACATGACAAGAATTAAGCAACTTGCAAGTGGAAAGGCCGATTTACGCACGCCAGTGCGTCCATGCCAGCCGTCCTGAGGACCTAGCTCCAATCTTGAGGTACTAAGCTCCATGAGAAGTGCGAAAGCCTTCGGTCACGTGCCGTGATCAAACATTCAGGTGACAATACGTGACATGTGCATGAATCGTTTGGGAGACGTGCTGTTCAGCAACTGGATCGTTTTTGGGTCTTACTGTCTTACTGGATCGTTGAATGACAAGATCGTGTGGACTGGAACGGTCTCACGGCATCTTGTCTCCAGCCGAGTCATTGGTCATTTGGAGTCATTCGCCATCCGCCGACCCCAGCCAATGGTGGGGGAGCGCGCCAGAGAATTCTGTTGCCCGGCTGCGGGTATAGAGATGAAGGTAGACTTCACCAGCGTTAGAAGGCGCCGTTAGGCATTCAGCGGAGGTTTTTTTTCGTGTGCCATTTTGTGAGTGGAATCTCATTGGGCAATGCTGTGACAACACTGGGGCCGAGAGGTTCGTTTAAGGCGCGTGGGAGACAGGTTTTAGGATGTCTTGGTGGGGATTGGTTAAGCACGTGGCGGGTGCGGGGCTGAGTTGATGGAGGCTTGCAAACATGCTGCAGAGGATCTTGAAGATATAGATTTTGTATGAATTGTTTAGTGTTTTTTAACTGGTGTCAGAAGGAGTGAGCGGGCAATTTCGGAGAGTATTTTTCACCTGGACAGGTTTTGGATTGGTTAGATTGGTTAAGCTGGTGCAGGGCGTGCACGAGGGCTACCAGGCTACCAAAAATAATTGGCCCAGCGTGGCGAGGGGCAAGGCCAGCGCAGGCTGGCGGACAAGCTGGAAGAAGGACCTTGAAGACTTGTAGATTGAACATAGATTGATAGACTCAGAAAGCGATGTTTGGCACTGACCGAGCAGCTCAGGGGCCTGTTTTGTGTGGCTAGATATAAAGAATAGATAATAATATATACCTGAGAAGGGGGACGAAGGCCAGCAGCCGCCAGACGAGTGTCTCTTTTTCTGGCGAGCTTGCGAGTCAGCGGTGCCGCGGATGCGGGGGGGGCGAATGTAATGGTGATGGAGGGAGCAGAGAAGCAAGCCGGGCGGCTTTGGGATAAGTTTGGTTTGAAAGAAGTAGTGAAAGAGAAATGCGATACGTTGTATGTTGGTGTAGGTCATCATCACAAGGCAATGGCATGTGTTTGTCGCATGCAGGAAGGAATGCAGCTTATGGAAGTTGGAAGGCGACATCAGCGTTAGCGAAGGGGAAATACTGTCTGAGTTCGAGTGGTGGGATACCACCTGTCCGCGCGCGCGTGCGCAGGAAGACCTTCTCCATAGTCAGCGTCGCCGCGCGCGGCGCGAGTACGGCATGCGTTTGAAAAGAAGCAATTATGCGTTTGTTACATTTGGAGTGTTTGACGTTTGCAATGCATACTGCGGCACGTCGAGAAGCGGCATTCCGTTGATTTGGAAGAGTGAACGGGCACGTCTTAGTCGGACACGGACGTTTGATCTCGGGGCGCAGAAGGGGAGGTCCAGCGAAAGTAGCTTGGGCTAGCAAAGGAGTGAGGATTTGTGTGCCTATCGATGCACAAGCCTGGACTTGAGTGAGTCATATTCTGGCTCGATCCAAAGCACAGCCTTTTATTCCTTTAAAGGTGCCTTTATTAAGCGATCCAAACACCTTATTTATTCTTCTCTTTCTTATCAACTCTGCGCCTTTCTCACTCAGAGGCCTTGACTTTGGCACCTGTGTGTGTAGATCTTTTTGGCTGTGGACCCAGGCTGACCAGCAAAAAGGCGACGTCATAAGCCAGTAGTGTGTAGAATTTATCTATCTACCTATCTCTATCTCTATCTCTATCTCTATCTATCTATCTATGTATCTATCTACCTATCTGCACCGGCAAGCCGGAAAAACGTTCGGTGCGTGTGGACGACGCGAGAAGCATCCACTCGACCGAGGACATGGTGCAAGTATAGTTTTTGCTAGGGGGCAGGAGCCCTATGCGGACATGTAGTCAACCTCGCAGGCACCCCCACCGAAACTCAATCCAAATTCATGGACTTGAACTCATGTCACTTTCGGTTCTCTATGGATTTCGCGAGTTACGGGTTGTCCTGGGAACTCGTATCCTACATGCGGCTGCGGTCTGCTCTGTACGTGGGTCCCTGTCTCCGCTCGAGTGCTCAATGCCCATTGTCCAAATAGCCTCCAAAGCCCTTCATGATGCTAATGCTCCCCCACCAAGCTCCGGGTTCACCCTCTCAAAAGGTCCTTCTCAACGACCACCCCCCCACACCCCCTTAACTCACTTCGTTCGCTTTAAAAGCTCAAGCCTAGCCTATCGGCTGGCTTTCGTAATATATATATATATATCATATATTATCAGATATATATATATATACCTAGAGAGAGAGAGAGCGGACTTTAACACCCTGGTGGCCTGGCGGGCCTTTTCTGTGGGGAATTAGATTGGTTAAGATCAGTGCTGCGAGGCGGGTCTAGCCGCGCCAAAGACAGGTTTCACTCTTGCCAAAGAGCGTTAAGCTAGAGATATAGTGCTGGACTTTAACTCGCGTTAGAAAGCAACATGCGGCACTGAGTGGGAAACACATTGGTTAAGGGTGTAGCGAGGGGGCGTTCAGAAGGCTGTTTCCGAAGTGGATTTGGATTTGAGACCGAGCAGCTTCGGGGACCATTTTCACTGCCTTGCCAGAGAGGCCTCAAGCTAGATGTAGAGGTAGGCTTCAATCCGTGTCAGAAAGCACCGTGTGGCCCTGAGCGACGCCTGATGGCCCTGTTCTGCGTGGGATTGGATTGGTTAAGGGCGTGGCGAGGTCTAGCAGTGGCGGAAACAGGTTTCAGCCTTGCCAACGACAGGGTTTAAGCTAGAGATAGCGATTACTTTATGGTGGAGACAAGGCTTTGGTAAAACGGGATTTGGGTAGATTAGATTGGTTCCTTTTCATCTCACCATCACACAAGAAGCATGATCTGATAAGCGCTCTCCAACCACACCAACTTCAAGCACCTGTCACCTTACGTCTATCAGCAAACCCCCTAAAAAGAAAAGAATTGTCACACATCAATGAAAATTGATTCCTCCTCTGTCTGTGCTCCTGGAGTCGGCGGCAAGGGGCGTCAGCCCTTAAACTGTTCTAGAGCTACTGCTCTTGAGCTACTTGTATCATGCTTGTATAATATGCTTGTTAAGACCTTTAAAAGAAGCTCTTCAACTGATGACCTGTGGCTGAACAGCCCTGCGGTAAGCAAACCCTGTGTTTGCCTCTTGAACATGTGCAGCATTGCAGTCAGGAGCCTGCTGCCAGTTGCTACCTCGTCCGCATGCATCGATCCTGCAACTTCAGGCCAGCGGAGAAAACACAACAGAAAAAAGGAGACAAACATAGACCAACATCAGCATAAATCAGCCTCCAGTATCCAGTAACACAGTAACCACCTTCCCGTCCACATTCGAGACATGCCCACGAATAGAACCCCTTCTTCTGACTCTCAGCCCCAAAACAATGCTCAGGATGCTTTCACAAGTCTTTCTGTGCCACCTAAATTTTGCCTCTCCCCAACTCTCTCACTTGCCAAAAGTTGGCCCCCCCACTACCCTCCAGCCTAGCCTAATGGCTGGCTTTCATAAATAAATACATCCACCGCGATAATGAACACTCCAAACGACAATCACATTCACCTGTTGAGCAACTCAAACCCAATGAGGCCCTTGACATTCTTGAGGCTCTGGCAAGCAGCTGTATGTTACGGCCTCATGTCTGGCCATCAAATTAGAGGCAACTACTACCACTCGTACAGCAGTTAAGACATGCACATTAGGGTCAACTTCTTCTGCTCGCATGGCCTGGAGCAATGCAATGGCCTCCCAAGCTGGGCGGATCAAAGCGATTGACCATCGAGATGGATATGGAATGATATGGACATAGTGTTATGAGAGCCGCATATTTTTAATCAGCCAAAGGAACACGGATTTTCGTTTGGAAAGGAACGTCTGGAAAGGAACGCTGAGGCTACACCGCTGACTCGGCTGAGTGTGTGAAAGCTTCGTTCTGGATTTGTGAAAGCTCTCCCCGCGCAGCTCCGGCTGGCCTGTGCCCACTGGCTTCCGTTGGCGCTTGCAGCAATGCCAGAACTGAAGGCTACCGCATCAGGCCTGCAATCTGAAGCACGACTGACTAGCACTAGGCTGTTGGAAATACAGACTTGTAAACTTGTAAAGGTGTAATAAATTGCTCGTTGGGCCGCTCGTTGTGTCTAAGAATGGCTCGAACCACGATCAACAAATGGCACCAGGGTTCAACACAACACCCGCACCCCTAACGCAGGGAAGATACTGTGAAACTTGGATGAACTGGGCCCATCTACCTACCTTCGCGGGGTCTGCCCATTGTAGTTGCATGATGTTGCATGCTTCGCCCCAAGAACAAACGTACATCGTCCGCACACACTCAATTTGGCTTGGTGGAAGGTCTGGACACCCGAATTCTGCATGTTCAGCTGAAGGCAGAAGCAGTATATTGTCTTGCCTCAAAGTTCTCTCGGGCAGCTGAAAAAGCAGCGCGACGGCAATTGCCTGAGAATAGCATGCACAACCCGAGCGTCAAACGACTTGACTTCCTCGGCAATCCTCGGCATCTCTTCCTCGCAAGTGAAAAATATTGGGCTCAAAACCCATTGAAATGCAGCGCCGCAAGCACCTGCGAGCGCAACCAAAAGGCTTTGCAACTAGCGATATGTGCTCAGCATCATTGTCTTGACAACAAAGAAATAATGATCAACAGGTTTCACTCCTGAGTCGACCACCAATGGCGCTGCTCACTGCCAAAACATCAGCCCTGTCGTGACCAAGCCAACAAATTGGCTCCCGAAGAACCACCTGTCGGTGTAATATCTCACACTAAAAATAACTGGTTGAAAGGAGAGCCAGGTGCAAGCACCACCAACATCAACACCAGCAACACCAAGAGCAACTTTCTGGAGGTGAAGAAGGCAAAATGCAGCCGTTTCCACCCCAAGTCAGCAAGCAAAATGGATTCTGCGTCTGTGCGAAGACCTTTTGGCCTTTCTGTTCCAAGTCCGACCATCTTTAGTGCCATCCAACATTATTAACATGGATGCGGCAGCTCGCAGTGAAAAAAGGCCAGCAAGACTTTGCTCCATGAAGCTCTGGCCTGTCATCAATGGACCAATGCAGGGCATAAAACATGATCTGCAGCTCGCGGTCTTCAACAGAAATGGACCCCTTGAAGACCAACATTGACCCTGAAAATCACTGGTTGGTAGAGGCAAACCATCGTCCAGGGGCCCATTATCAGGGTCCATGTTAGTTTCATACTAAACAAGTGTCTGATCTTTACAGCTTGGTGGGGCGGAATGTAAGTATAGAAGCGGGACAACGACAACAATATGCCCACCTTGTGGAGGAAAGAAGTCGTGGCATTTCTAGCATCATATTTTTCAAAACATGGTCTGAATATGTCTGAATTAGATGTCATGCCGTGCCCACAAACACCTCAAATACACTTCAATGCAGCATCTGCAGCCTCGTGAGAAGTGCTAACGCTTCAGCCCAAAGCCTCGGAGACAAGTCTGGAATTAGAATGGCTGTGCTGTGCTGTGGCAGCCTCGATGTGCATGGATTACATTTTTCCATCCAGGCATGTAACTTCTACAGTGGGTCTTCACGGATCCTTTGGTTAGTGTATGGATCTTTTGTACACTCTAGATGGTGTAGTTTAATGCACATAGAAATTCGCGTTAAAAAACAAACAATGATCAATCTGATCGCTGATTCATCCCTTGGGCGGATGGGATGCTCTTGCTGACACAACTGCCAGCGAGAGGGGGGCCTTGCTCTCGCCACGGAGTCTAGCAGAAACACCCTGAACAAATCGTGCCATTTCAGACTTTTTGCTCTCCATCATGTGCAATTTCAAGGCGAGCTGCATTCCTGACTCGCATGCGGTCATCAGCGCCTAGGCAGCACAGCCCCGAAAAGTTGACCGAGCTGAAGAAGCTCCGGAGAGCTGACGATGAAACTCGTCAAAGAGTCGATCTCTTGCACAACAAATGCACCTCACATCGTCAATTTTACAAAAACCCAACACATGTCTTGAATATTTACCAATACTGAATACAGTACAGTATAATATCCTATCTATACACATGGGTTGGGCAATCTTTGAAATTCCCCCACTCCTCACACGCACAGTGCAAAGACTCGACGTAGCCGTACCACTGTTGGCGCCACCATCGATTCACAATCTAATGAAATCTAACCAAGGGTTCGCAACGACTGAGGTCTTCGCACTGCAAAGGATCGTGTTCATCTTGAGGCCGGCCTTATTTGTTATCCAGTGGTCAACAGAATTCGGTATATGATCTGTCAATTGCCTGGCGGCAAGCGCAATGGAAATAATGAAGCTACATGCAAACTTTTGCCTCACTTTGCCAGGCAAAGGCTCGCAGGATCAGTGAGACAGCGGCTCATGAGTGTTAAAAAGTCCCTGGATCATCGCTCTGCCCTTTCAGCATCCAAAACACCTAATTGAGTACCAAAACAAAGGTTCGATGGAGAAGAGGTCGGCGAGCAAAAAGGGCAGGTCATCGATCCCATGAAACGCATGAAAGCGCTTCAAAAAGCGGCCAGGATTATTGACATGAGCAACTGGTAATGTGATGTCTTGTTTCCTCTCCAGGTGATTTTAGGTGATTTCAATGATTTGTCGTTGCTTCTGCTGTTGTCCTATGGCGCCTTAAGCCTTAAGGCAACTTGAGATCTCAAAACAAGGATGCCTACTTCCTTGCCAGTGGCTCACATGGCAGCACCCTTCCAAAGGATTGCAGCCAACTGGTCACCAAGCATGACCCCCCAAAGCGGAACACACTGCAGAACTGATGGAAATGTTGACTCTCTTGGGATCCCGGACTCTGAGGTCCCCGGACGCCCGAGTCCCCAGCTCATGCAGCAAAAAATCGAGTTGACAAATCAACTATTTGTCCATGCAAAATGGGATCTGAAACATCCATTGGAGCATGGCGACAGGTGGTGAACATCTGAAGTTTGCCACCCTGTCCTCGCCACACCGCCTTTCTCAATTGCGGCCATCTATCAATTGAAAGTCAGTGCCTCAAACATTGCCACTAGTGAGTGTTTGGCTTTACAATTGCAACTTGCAAGCACTCTAACAATAACATACAGCAACATTGGTAACACACTCATACATACTGTACACTGTATCGTTCCTCTATCAACCATGACCAAGTCCCTTGGCATTGCCCCTGAAAAAGCAATCGCTGTCGGAAATTCACTTCACATCTGCTTGAAGGCTCCAAAGCGCTGAGGCAAGGCGAGACTGCTGACATTTCAGCTCCTGAGATGGGATCAGTCGCGCTTCGCTGACAAGCTTGAAGGAGTTGACAGCTAAAGGAAAACATCGGTATGATGCCAGCTCAGCGTGGCTTTGTTAGAAGCTGCATGTTGTGGTTTCTACTTTTATCCTTTGTGAGACTTTTCTCCTTCGCAAATTTCTTTGGCTGTTGGGGAGTGGCCGCCTCCATACATCAAAGGCTTATGACGGGTTCGGGCCAATGCCGCCAGGTCTCATAGATCTCACGTCGCAGCTGCTCCACATCGGCCTCTTCATCGTGCAGTCTCTTTTTCTTCTCCTTAACAGCTGACATCCCTCCCACTCCCAAGTCACGTGCTCTTCAATGGCTTCCCTGTAATTTATCCCTTGGGGCCTTAGGGTATCAAAAACGGACCCTGAGCCGCTCAGCGTCTTGAATTTCCTCCTTGATCAGCGCGAGGCTCATCTCCGTAGCTTCCACTTCCAAACGGCAGCTTTGACCACCTTGATTTGACGCTTCAGGATCCCGATCCGGAAGATACATGGTCATTGTCGTGGTCTGGACATCGTCCGTGTAACCGTACCATTCCTGCCACGGCTTGGGAAGCAAGAGCTGCTACTATGCTTATTATTCAAGGTGTCGAACAACAATACGAAGATGCGAGTCAGGTCTTTGGCAACAGTTAAAACAAGACTTGCAGAGGCTTTGCGAATCAGCTGGTGCTCCTGAAAGGCATCCAGCGGCTTGGTCTCTGCTTCCGGAACTTCTGCCTCTGCATATCCTCAGACAGCGAGCAACATTGCCAGTCCATTCTGCATTTTGGCTCCTAGTTTTATAAATGTTTCATATGGTAAGGCCAGAATCCTTGATAAAAAAATCGAAAAAAATGTCAAATGGAAAAGTCACAGTCAAAAAATGTCAAATTAAATTGAAAAGTCAAAACAACAGTTAACAAAAACGTCAAACATAGACCACTGCTCGAAAAAGTAAAAAACAGTCAAAAACACGTCGAACAAAAGTCAACAACTCGAAACAGTCAAAAAACATGTGAAAGAAACATCAAAAGTCAACCACTCGAAAAAATCAAAAAAATCGAAAACACGTAAAAAAAATCGAAATTAGAAAAACAAAAGTAAAGAAACAGTCGGATCTGGGCAAATCGTTTTTTTTCTGAAACTTGTCTGAAACTTTCTGATTTGACTTTCTTTTTCTTTGACTTTTGGGACTTACTTTTTTTGACGTTTCTTTTTTGGGGTGGATTTTTAGATTTGAAAACAGGCTCTCTCCAATGAAACATTTTTATAGCCCTAGTTTTCAACGTCAAAACTTTGTGGGGAGGTTCCAGGATCACTGAATGAACGCGCACGACCCACACACACTCTGACATTGGTTTTCAGTTAGCTAGCTCAATTCCCAGGAAATGTGGTGATGGAACGGGAAGGTGGCAGAGTCCGTGGAAAAGTATTGTTCAACATTGTTTGCACATGACTGCAGAAAACGCGCGGCTGCTGAACGTGGCTGAAGGAAGAAAGGTTTCGGGGAGGTATCGTGGAACCACCATGGAAACAAACAAGAGAGACTGGAACAGCGTGAGCAAAAGTTCAAACCTGTCGCAGGTACGTGAACCTGGCGTCCCAGGTTCATATCCTCTCCAAACATCAGTAGCTTCGTTGGCCACAGACCGATGAATGGAGCTGTGGCCCCCTGCGTGAACAATGGAAATTGTAAGGTGGAACCCTTGGAAACAGGGGTCGACACACACACGGTGCCGCTTGGCGGCGCTCGCGTGGAAGGCCTGAATAGATACCTAAAACGCCTTAGAAACAAAAGAAAGAAACACAGAAAGAGCAGCGCTAAGAGGGCAAGAGAGAAAGATAGGAGTAGAGAAATGAAAAATGAATACTTAGTCCTTGACTGGGGTAGGGAAACGCGCCTCAAGAACAACCTAAAAAGCCTGAGAGAAAGCCCAAGAAACAACCAAAAGCGTAAGAAAGAAAGTGGGGGGCAGGGAGGGGATGTATGTGGCATGTGTGTGTCCGTGTGTGTGTATGACTACCTAGCACTCTAGGGTTACTGACTACTTAGCAGAAACGAATTACGTGCAAAAGTTAGGGAGCGGGACTTTAGTCTTAAACCGCCCGGGTAGAGTAGACTAGAAAAGGGACAACAGAGGGAAAGGCACCGACACACAAGTGTGTCGAGTACCATTTCCCTGTGTTACCCTAATTAGGTAGGGAGTAGAACTCGGTGGGGGGGGGTTGGGAGACCTGCCTCCAGTGGGTTGAATTCCGTTTTTTAGCCCGGCGGCTATGGTATCCGTGAAAGCCCAGCGGCTTTAGATTCCGACAATTCAGTAGTGAGGCTATAAAGGCTGTTTAAGGTGACTCACGAAGACGCTGATTCAGTAACACGATTTCCGGCATGAAAACGGCGCCTCCTTGCGGAGGATCACACCCAGCACCCAAGTGAGACGGCTGAGCGGTTCACACTCTGACATTGGTTTTCAGTTAGCTCAATTCCCAGGAAAAGTGGTGATGGAACGGAAAGGTGGCAGAGTCCGTGGAAAAGTATTGTTCAACATTGTTTGCACATGACTGCAGAAAACGCGCGGCTGCTGAACGTGGCTGTCGAACGTGGCTGAAGGAAGAAAGGTTTCGGGGAGGTATCGTGGAACCACCATGGAAACAAACAAGAGAGACTGGAACAGCGTGAGCAAAAGTTCAAACCTGTCGCAGGTAATTACGTGAACCTGGCGTCCCAGGTTCATATCCTCTCCAAAAATCAGTAGCTTCGTTGGCCACAGACTGATGAATGGAGCTGTGGCCCCCTGCGTGAACAATAGAAATTGTAAGGTGGAACCTTGGAAACAGGGGTCGACACACACACACACACACATGCACCCCCGCACGCACAGTGGCTCACACCGAGTCAGCGACCCTGGATGCAAAGAAGTATCCATAAAACTCAGCAAATCCATCAAAAGGAAGGGCATCAAGTGTCTCGGTCGGTTTGTAGCCAAGGCATTGTAGAGCACGGCCTGTCATGGCGCCCGGCATGCCCCAGCGTCTAGAAATAACAACTAACTCAAGCTGCCTCGAGGCGATGCTTGAGCCATCTTCCTGTGAAAGGCAAGCTGAAATGCTGCTGCACTCATGTGATGTCATGTGAACATCAGCACCGGACTGCGGCGGTGCCAGTAAAGTGAGATGATGAGAGTGCCAACATGAACTGAAACAGCGAGGCAGCCTAGTCTTGAATTTGTCACTTATGACACTTATGCCCTGAGACTGAGATGCCTTAGCTTTCGGCGCTTTGCATCTCTTCAGCCAGGTGCAAAGCAAATGGCCAGCTAGGACCTGGAGCAAGCACCGCAGTTTGGGCACAGTCATCCCCTTTCCATTCTTGCTGATGCTTGATGAGGTGAGGAGCATTTGAAGTCAGAAGAATCAGGAATTCATCTTGGCGCCACCCCCTTGACATTTTCTACAAACAAATTGAGAAGAATCATTGTTGTTCAGCATCTGCCCAAATTAAGCACGTGACACATCACCACCACGGGGATTGCTAAATCCAAAACATTCCAAAACCCTCAAGCTACTAGGGGCTCCTGGCCTTACTACTAGGAGCAAGGACGCTACTAGGGGCTCCTGGCATCGCTACTAGGAGCATTCTTACCACTAGGAGCATGGAGACAATCTTCTTACTACTTATATAACCCTCTGTGCATCCAACCCTTGGCCTTGGGCACAGCCCGCCATGGCACTGCCGTAGGCAACGAGGTCTGGCTGGATCGCCTGCCGAGTATTGGTGCCCGACACAAACGGAGCGGTATTGGTATGCATTGCAACCTAGAAGTGGTGGCCTCCAAGCTAATAGCGATGGCCTCCCACCTGTACTTGTAATGGCCTCCAAACCTAGAAGCAATGGCCTCCTATCTCATTGAAAGCCTTGCTGCTTCAAATTAGGGTGCCCGCCATATCATCAAAGCTTCGCAGCAGCTGCAGCGCCAAGGTCCAATGAGCAGAACGTCTGCCATTGGGTGTGCATCATCGAACAGACCACCACATGAATCACGATGGCATCAACCCCAAACTGATTGATGCGTAGCAGGCGTAGCACGAGTCATGCACACACACACACACATAAATAGAAACTAGCTTGCATTTCCCGAGATTCAGAGGCTTCCATCTTTCAACTAAGTTATCTGACCAGGCCTAACCAGTTGAAACAAAGCATCACAAGCTTTTGCCCTGACTAGTGGGGCTGCACATCGGAAACATGTACCGGTACCCGTACTTTTACTCAAACATGATCAAACTGTTTCTGAAGCGTGGCAGAGAGTCTGGCAAGCGGTGAGGCCTCAAACAACATGTCTTAGATCGCTGGCATACAAGTTCCTGAAATAGCTCCAAAGCTTGGACGCTCCAAAAATTGAAAAAAATCTCATATGATGTCCTTCTATGTCCTTCTCTGCTCTGTTTCAATTACTGAGCTTTGAGTTATTCCGCTAGCCCAGCAGCCTCCCCACATCACCAGCATTGGAGATCATTGGAGGCCAAACAGGGTCCAAAACACCAACCATCATGGCTGCTCCACTTTGGGGATCCCAGCAGGCGCTCAAAGTGAAGACCTCTGCAAGCACTTACATCAGGACGATGCAGCCGAAAGGAGACAAATTGAGCAACCTGATCTTGTAGAATCTTTCAAACACGGTGAGGCCTCATGCACCACACTTAGCTTTCTTGTGAAGAGGGGCATGCTCAAAAAGCAATCCACTTGGACAAAGTATGAGAAAGTGCAGGAACCTGCACATGCCGCTCATCGCTACGACTACGATTGAAGGTCTGACATTTGCATTTGTAGCCATATGTCAGGTCTGCCAGTGTTGCACTCCCAGACTCCCAGTTGGATCTTGTCAGCAGTGCTCTTCGGAACACACACGCACACATCGGCTTGGAGACAACACGCCCTGTCCGGGCACTCTTTATGTCCCTGTAGAAGTGCCATGTTCCAAAGCAAGCTATGCTTGAATGCGTAAGTGGCCCGCATCTGCTTTCAAAGCTTCTGGTAGAGCTGACGCGAGTGCCAACGCCATTTCCTCAAACCAACAGAAGCTATCAAACCCGAACTTTGCTCTCAATCGGTTTAGTGGGCTCGCGTGACAGGTCATCATATTGGTCCAACAAGTCTCCCAAGCGGAACCACGCTCACAGGAGGAGATGGCTGTGTTGTAGCAGGTGAGGTCCTCCGGGCAACCCATGAGTGCCAAATCTGCCAATGTTATCAACGTTGACTGCAGCATGAACATCTGCAGTGTGAATTTGAGACCTTCTTGCAGAAGCACGGTGCACGCGTTCACTCTACAAACCGCTCCCTCACCCCCCTCTCTGTATGTGTATGAGAGTGGGGGTTTGGAGTTTCGGAACGCTTAGAACTTACAGGGCCATGGCCGTAGTAGAACAACATCTGCAGGTCCCTGCGAACCCTGCAAAGCTCGTTTTCCCTGTCCGGAGCTGGCCACCTTGGTGTGCCACCAATGTCGGGATGTCTGACGCACTCTACGACTCTTCGAAGTTGGTTGAGTGATGTTGAGTGGAAACATCGCTGATCCCAGGCCAAGGGTGGACGCTCAATGAGTGCAAAACGATTGTAACAATATAATATATATATATATAATGATTGCAGCATTGGCGATAATTATTTTGTTGATTCTTCTCTCACCCTCTCATTGAATGAAGGAAAACCACATGGGAGACACGGACTAGCAGGAAACCAGAACACTACCTAGGAAAATGGAGGAAGAAATGCACAGCTTCCATCCTAGAGTGATGCATTCCCGCATTTTCACAGAACAATTCATGTTGAGTGAGCCCCGCGCGCATCTCCAACTAGCATCCTTGACAGGATGCCCAAGGCCTGTGTCATCCGAAGCAGAAGGCGTTCGGTTTGGCTTGCACATAACAGCTGCTTGATTGTATGGCATTGCGCATTCAGTGAAATGGAATGGGTGATGTTTTGGGTGGAACCTCAAACCACAAGGAAGCTGGATCGCATGCAGTCATTGCCGCCGTGCAACTGATCGTTGTTGGCCTCAGTCTGCAAAAATGCATCACATGTGCATCTACTTATAGAACTCCTGGACTTTGCAAGTTGGTTTCCATGGATGAAACACGAGCAATGTGTGGCCATGTAGTCTTGCAAGTTCCTTCGATAGAGGGCAGCTGCTAGGCCTCTGTATCTCTCTCATTTCTTTGTTGCTGTTGCTCTGGATTTGTCCGCACAAGCAGGGTATATACAGGACACTTTTTGGATATGAGCTGCTGTTGGACAGTGCCATGATAACATAATGCAGCTGGCACTTCTGACCTCAAAGGCAAGCTACACTGTTGATATCCGTCTGTGGATCATTCAGGCACGGCACTGCAGATCCTTGTCAAGAGCTTCCTGAAACCTGAGGCACCAGCTTGGGCAGCAAAGGGAAGCCAAAACTACACGAGAACTCCTGTGACATGCCTCCTGCCCACAACTCGCCCCAAAGAGTATCAATCAGGGCATGCTCGTGTTGTTCTTGGGCATGACATTATGACATTGCTGCTTGGGTATCCTATGGATACTGTAGATCGGTTCAATCTTGTGCGACGATACCATGCTTATGATCATGCACAGTCTAGTCTATTTTGTAGCCATCTTTGCCAATCAACGGCATGCACACAAATTTGCCTGCCATACAGGACATGAAGTTGCACAAAACTCCACATGCCTCAGGCACCTACAAAGCCAATGCCAAAGTCCATTCGCTGCCTAGCAAACTTTACTATCTGTCTGCTGAGACGACGTCGTGCGCTGAGACGGCACAAACGGGCGCACTGTTGTCTCAAGGCACAGAAATTGCGTCCTCGTCGGAAATTGAATAGGGTAGGGGACTGATGGGCCAGGCACCTTTTTGAGCTGCAAACATTGCTGTATTGTAGGTAACGACCTCGGTCAAAACTTGCAAAAAAAAGTCCAAAAGCGTCTCCCTGCATCCATGAAACAGGACAAAACATCTGCGAAAAAAAACAACCTACTTAGGATCCAAGCTGTTGGTCTGAAACCACTGTGCAAGGCCTGCACAAAGAAGACTCACTGGATCAGCGAATCAGGCTTCAAAACGAGCGGTGCTCTGGCATCCCCGGCTCTCATGTCCCCACCCGCTGGGCGGCGCCTTGTGCAGTAAACTCAGCGATTGATCCCAAAGCCTGAGACAGCAGGCTTTCGGGCCGGTCTCTTACTCTTGGCATCTCTGAAGCCGGCCGTGATGTCAGTTCACCAAATTGACATGGGGCCCCCATGTTGAATCATCATGAATCACCCAATTCTTGACAGCATCATCAATTAAGATCCAAAGTAAATGGCCATTGGCCATTGCCTGCCTCTCTGTGAGCCGGCCAAGAATTCTCAGGGCCAAACCCAGCTTTCAACAGTGAGGCTGCCACGGTGTTGTAAGTCACAGTATCTGGGGCGACCTTCGTACAAAGAAACATGACCCATCATGAACTAAAGTGCTAGGGTTTCGCCAAATCTGATCAGTCTGATTGGTAAATTGCGCAACATTGTCCACTTGTTGTGTTGTTGGGAGCTTTTCGTGCCATTAAGGCTTGACCGGACAAGACAACCTCCGAGGTCTTTGCATGCCACAAAGGCAACTCGTGGAAGAGCTGAGCAACGAGTTCCCACTTGCGACCCTGGCATGGCTTCTGGCAACAACTCGGGCGTGCTAGCTACAATGATGAATATTGACAAACTCGGTGGTCTTGGGATGAATTGGAACCCCAGCGAGTGGATGACCCGGGCAACTCGTCACAAACATCCACCGATCTGCATCGCCTTAGCGCAAGTGGCCAGGAGCTTTTGAGCCACGTGGACATCAGGCGCTTGCTTCCTTTGGCGAAGGCCCGCAAGCAATGCCAAAGCCTGTGCCCACGCATTGCGGTGGCCCTGCTCCTGAGACACTTTTTGGAGATGTGTTTGTAGGCAAACTGCCACCTATTTTGGCAATCTTGACCAATCAGGAGATTAAAACAACAGATCTATATATATAAACATTATATATACAACACATATCATTATGCAACTCTGTAGTGAGGTCTTTGCGATCACAATGTCTTCCAAAGACATGTTGCCCTTGTGTATATCAACATTTTCATGTACATATAGTATATATGCAGTCCGCTCATTATTGTGGGGTGGGACAGTCGCGTTGCCTTTGACAATGGATTCATGCCACGGAACAAACACGGGTGCCGCGAAATTCAACCGTAGGCAGGTGGAGGTTGTCCAAGATCTGGTGATAGGTGGCATGTGTCGCCTGGTTGTCCGGGATGCCACTGTCGGTGGGGCCTGACGTGAACATGCTGCTTGAAAAGAAGGACTTGCCGGACTTGCTGTGAGCAAAGCTGTGATCACCTATATAGTGGTGGGTGAACCACAGCCCGGCAATCCGTGCGAGGGACTCCAGCCACCAAAGGTTCCTCAAGGTGTGTCTTCTGAAGCAGGTTGTGGGATTGTGCCTGCTTCCGTGCTGAAACGCTGATTCGACAACTTCTTGCACGGCGCTCGCATTCGCAGCACACACAATCCATATCTATCCATACGTGGCTTTCGTGGTTCCATCACAAGTGCTGTGAGGAGACGGGCGGGCTTGGCTTGCTGGGAAGCTTCAACTTCTGTGGACTTGGGACAAGTGACAGAATGAACGGATGATTGTTCACATATACCGTAGATGCATGTAGAGTCATGTAGATGCATGCATCTGCCTCAAGCTATGCAACATTATTCATTATGCAACTATTCTTCTGATCCATTGGCACTTCAAACTTTGCGGCTCCTTGATCAAACGGTTGTAGCCTGAAAGCAGCTGTGGTGATCGAAAGTCCCACCACTTTCCGGCCTCGCAAGTTGTGTGGAAGAAGTCCGAACGAAGAAGCCCTTATTGAATCTCAGAGAGTTGTCTTTCCAGGTCTTTCTGAGCCCAAGCCCACCCACCCAAGGCCTACCCTGCCCTACACTTCCAAAAGGTTTGCCCAAAACCAAAGTTCTTACAACATGAACAGCCATTGAGAGCGACTTTTACAAACTCATTGGCAGTGTAAGGCCCGTGGTCTCCCTTGCAAGACCCTATGGCATGCTACATGTTATTTCAGTATATTTCAGTCAAGCGGTGTATGAAGTGCACGTCTGTGTTAAGTTTTGAACCCCTGGCCTTGCTTGCAAATCTGCGCCCATGGCGCAGGCAGCGGACACGCATGCAAAAGGGTGCATGCCCAACACATTCGCGCAATGTGGCAAAGAAACATAGGGACCAGCAGCTAATTGAAGTTTCATTGATTTGATTGACATTTGATCACTGTGATGAGCATCATTGAGCCACCTTTGTGTGGTCCAGCTGGCTTTCCACAATCTCTCATTGGGTGCCGGGACAGCACAGACTGTGGTAGTGTCCTGGGCACATCAAGCTCCAATCTGCTTTGTCAAGGGGCTTCAAAAGCCGGTCTCCAGCTTGAGTCCGAGCAGTCTGGCAGTGCTTGCTTGGAAGACTTGTGATGATACAGCTCATTGTACGGATGACTTCTGCACACAACCCGCCAATCTTCAGAAACCAGCAAAACCACACTAAACTTGGCCCTCACAGGCCTCGCAACACGCATGATGCAACCGGCAAATGCTCACACCCCTGAGTTGATCCAGGAGGAGTCTGGCGGCTGGGACAGCATATGAGCAGCGTATGTCATGTCAGTTCATCTTCGCCCCACTTTCATCGTTCGCATTACGCATTCTCCAAAGGCTTCATTGGCCGGCGATGCCAAGTGTGTCTGAAACTCATACTGCACACACTCATCAAAACAATGATACATATCACAAACACAAAGTTCACATTCACTTGCAAGAGTCGTGGGGAAATGTGGCAAATATGTGCACCATCTCGAATTGAATAAGTATGTGCAAGATACAATTGAAGCACCTGACCTTTGAAGCCCAACACGTCTTTAAACGCTTGAGAACCTGAATTCCCTGACCTGCTTGGCATCGTCCTACACTTTGTGGCCATGATCGGCATCAGTCTATCATGGCCACTGAGGGGCGCTTTGGCACCGTCTTCACTCGCACGATCTGGCAAACTCGATATGACAGAGAGCTGTTGAACGATTTGAAAACAAACAACCAAAGAAGCAGTCTTCCTGCAACGCCCGGGCCTCTTTCCGATTGTCACACAACAACGCGTCCGAAAGTCTCTTGCGGGAGTCTGGCAGTCGTCCTGGTCGCCGAGACTGATCCCGAGATCGTTTGCTTCCGGGACGAAAACGGCCCAGTCTCCTGTTCTTGACGGTCTTACGACGCTGCGGAGGAGTCCTGGCAAGCCACATGTGACATCAATAAATGCTGGCACTGCTAGACACATATGATAACATATGCACAGCAATTTGCACAAACAGTTTGTGAACGTTCCTCGCCCCAGTGGAAGCAACAAGCCGCCTGAGGCCTAAACGTGGCAAACAAGTGGGAAAATCAGCCATTCTGCCAGTTTTTGCACAATGGTCAAGTCCACTTTCAGTGATGTGCACGGATGTTCCTTCATCCATCAAGCCTACGACAAAAACATACAGAATCTGTAGTGCTCACTTGTTTCGTTCAAGTTTGCATCTGTGGTTTGGGCTTTCAGGTGCTCGTCGGTTTTGCTCCATCTGCTTCATGGCCTGCTCCAACTCCTGATCATGGAATCGGACGTTGATGGTTTCATGAAACACATGGCATGGAAACCTCGTTGTTTCAAGCCTTGTTACATTCTTGTGCCCTTTTTCCTGGATGCGGCAGACCAACCTCCACGAACCAGTGTGAACAAAGGTCCGGCCTCTATGCACGCGTCTCAGAAATGGGCAACACATTTGGACCACTCCTAGTTGTGGATCTTTTTGACAGCCACACGCTCGGCTTGGTGCGTATGCCCGGCGTTTTGCGTTTCAGCGACTAGACTATACAGTGCTATTTTCACGGTTAGCATTTCAAAGAGATACAATCTCAAGGCAACCACCTCCTACTTGTAGTACCCCCTCCAGCTTGTAAATGATCACACAATGAATGATCTATTCACCCAAAGCTGCTGAGCGTGCTCTCTCCTGTGCTGCAAACGGCACAAAGTCAATGTGTTCCTTCTCCATTTGCTGGCGGCCTGCCACACCGACTTAAAGCAAACAGTTGGATTATGTATGACTTGGAAATGAGTGATGTACCAGGGCAACCTGCTGAAAAACAATAATTAATTCGCAGCAGCACAACAGTTTGTAACCGGTTCAACTTTCCCCTGCTCTTCTGCACCCTCTCTTCTCGTTGTTCCTTGCCCCTCGTGACATTTCTGTAACTAGCGTGTGATGACGCTGGCGACTCGTCATATGTTCAGGAATTTCACAAACAGAAACTCTTTCATGGGATGCAAAGGGCCGATTACAGAATGCGCAGGGCATGCTATGACATCTTGTTCATTCCTCATACATTTGGTATGGTAGTGCGCACCTATAAACCACTTCAGCCGTGCACGTCTGCGTTTCCCATGCAAATTTGCAGCCACAAGAACAACTTGTCCTTTACACTCACGGTTTTCATCGAAGTGACATGGTGCAAACTGCAATTTGTGGACCAAATTGGGACTGCATGTGCCAAACCCAACTACAGTATATACTATATAATATATGCTACATTAAAAACATGCAAATTCTGCAGTGTTATCTGCACCAGGGCCCCTCACGTGCTTTTGCACAGGCAATTTCTTTAGCCAAACGTTGTTGGTGCAGCCGAACCATGTGCAACTCCTCGCAATGCAAACAGAGAGGTGCCCCTTTCATGTGCCGACAGGAACATGTTGCTGCATCAGTGAGAAAAAGGCTGGTAGCGAACAATTTTATGTCAAAGTGAAATCAAAGTGAAACTTTGTACGTTACCGTTACTTGCGAATTTTGCAGCCAAGGAAATTGGCAACAAGAAACTGTCCTTCTCCAACTTTTCTTCCCATTGCAGTTGTTCAGCCCTGAATCTTGAATCTTTCATGTTGAAAATCAACAAAGCAAACAAGCAAACTTTGCAATTAACATTCGGTTTCGGAATGCCACCGTGGGAGCGCCGTAGAGCTCACTACGTACACGGATGTTGAATAGCACATTGGGTCTTGATTGCGTCCTTCTCCACCTAGTGGCATCCTTGCTACTAGTAGTACAAGTAAGCCCTTCTGCCCCCCGCATGGTGTGTTTGGAAAAACGCCGCGTTATCATGCGAGGATCATTCGGCCGTTCGGTGTTGTTCGGCCTCGGCGAACCAACGTGGATACAACACTTGGTGGCACAGGCGTGAGGACGAGGAAGGGTATAACGTGAGCAAGCACATGATATTGTTTACTTTTGCTTTTGTCATTGCTTTTTGACCTGTGCTGTACAAGGCGATGCCCAGTCCAGACTTGGTTCATCGTTCATCGATGCAGTTTGAAGTCCATCACATCTCAGTGCCCAAGTGCAGTGAAGCAAGCGTGCTTGCTTGCCCATCAAGCGTGCGCAGCATCATGATTTGGTTACTGATTTGTCCCCATGTACGAGCTTGCGGCTTTGCAATGAGCTTTCAGGGATACTATGTATTACAAGTCAATAGCGGTCTAGGCAGGTGGATACATTTTTACTTGCACACGTAACATGAGGCATATGTGCGTGTGGCCTCACACTTGACCATCTGGAAACCATCCTGAAAGCCAAACACAAAAGAGTCAGACTGTTCTCAACCCCCAAGAGGAGACATCTGGACATACAGCCAACAATAAAGAATCGAAGCTTCTCAAAACCAAAGAGCCCAAATGCTTGAGTAGGGGGTTTGCTAAGTTATATAGGTAGGGGATGGTCACTAAGAAAGCAAACAACTACAACACAAACCTTGACCACACCGTGCACTGTGCACTAAACAACCAATAAGTACAAGGAACTAATCTGACCTACATCAAAATCATAAGTCAGTTTTCTTTTGTGAGTTTTTGTGTTTGGTTGGGTGGGCTGTCACGCAGTTAGAGCTGGAGTCCAAACCTCAGCTTGCAAACAGTTTGGCGAAGCCAAGAAATAGAACAACACACACACCAAAGGACACCAGATACATGTTGCAGACAAATACCAGTTAGGTAGCCTCCCTGAGCTGGCAGCAGCCTGGTCATCCTTTCTTCAACCATCACATGGAAGGTATTCAAAATCACTCACGTGCGTGCTTTCTTCTCTCACCACCAACCCATCTTGGGCGGGGTGCAAGAAGCTTGCGCCTTGCCCTGCACAAAAGCCCACCTGTCAAGGTCAAGGTACACCACCTGTTCACGCGAGCCTAAACACATGATGCAAGCGTGGGCATGGAGCGAAGGCGAGGTGTAGCCCCGCAATGATCTCTATCATGGTGGGGGTTATAGATAGGTAGATAGATAGATAGATAAGAAAGAAAGACAGATAGATAGATAGACAAACAAATAGATAGATAGATAGTTAGATAGATTAGATTAGATATTAGATTAGATTAGTTTAGATTAAAAATATATATATATATATTAGATTAGGATAGATAGATAAATAGATAGATAGATAGATAGATCAGATAATCAGATAGATAGATAGATAGATAGATCAGATAATCAAATAGATAGATAGATAGATAGATAGATCGATAGATTAGATTAGATTAGATTAGATTAGATATATAGATAGATATTCGTAGTAGCATGAATCAACAGGGCATATGCAAATTGTGACAAAAGCGAACTGTTGATGACAGGGACACTCTGACCTTGTGAACATAGAGTGAACACATACACACAAAGTCAAGGACAGCCAGCCCACTTCTCAAAAAGACAAAACGCGTTGCAATGCATGAACATAGAAACAGTTAAGGAAGTTGATGGAGCAGTTAAGGAAAGCAAGCCCCACAAACGCGTTGAACAAAAACCAGCAAAGAATTGGATTATCTTCTGAAACTCCACTCTTCAGCATAGAAGTGACAGTGACTTGATAAGACAAGTAGCAGCCGGCAGCGTACTCAAATTCTGCGCATCAAGTGCGATCACAAGCTAATCTGATACATTGCAAGCTAATCTGCAGGCTTCTTCTTGCCGGCCGGGGCCCGAACAAGGCTTCACGAATCGGGCCTTTCACCCGCAGCCTCAAAGCAGAACGTGGATGCTCATGACTGCTGGGCCTTTCGACTTGGCAAGTTCTTCCTCACACTCAGATATGCTGTGGGCTTCCTCTTAAACACAACATGGCCAGGGCCTTCATAGGAATTGGCCGCTAGGCCACATGGCTGGACTGCTTTGGCTGCATTTTCAGTTGCCGCACACACTTTACACCGCAAGGACGTGGCCCACCTGTCTTGGTTTGCCTGTGTGGCCAACATTTATTCTGGGGTCCATCCCACTGGGAAGCAGACCCCTCTTCAGATTGCGAAGCCGTGTTGCATGGCTTGCCTTGATGAAGCGGGATAGAGGGAGATGACACATATAATGTCATGGGAGACTTTTTGTTGACATATATACATGATAACGTCCTCAGCCAACTAGCGAAAGCAGGCCTTGTAACTTGAGCAGCTGCTCCGCCATGGCCTGAAAGCTATCATTCCATACCAACGTGTTTTTAAAGCTGGCAGGATAGTTTATTTGGTGCGAGCGAGTCAAGCGGCTGTCCATAGCAACTACCTTCGAGCTCTTTTTTGTCTATATAGTGGCTAGCTTCCTGCACCTAGTAGCGATGCCCCTGTTACTAGTAGCTTCTTGCTCCTAGTAGTAATGCCAGGAGGTGCTAGACTAGTAGCTTCTTGCTCCTAGTCTCAACAGTTGAACACAAGCCTAAGCCGGACCGGCTATATATCAAACTGTGCACACACGCTGCAAGCACCGTACTCCAATTCCAGTTGCACGCAATTCATCGCAACCCACGAAGCTGGTATCAAACAACAGCTGGGGTGCCCTGCTATGGCTGCAGGCTCGACCTCCATGCAGTTTGGCCTGTGCGCCATGTCAAAATGGGTGCACGTGGTGCTCCTACACATGGCCTTCAAAGGCGATTGCACCTGGTGAAGGGAATTGCAAAATGTGAGGAACACCAATTTAGTATCTTATATATTTTAAAAATATATTTATACACTATATATATAGATTGAATCGTTTTCTCATGTGACCCTGCCTGCCCTGCCACTGAGCCGTCGTAAGCACCTGGGGTCGAAAATGCAAATCGAAAACAACATACAGTAACATACATATCTGACTACCCAACCACGTGGGGTATCTCTGTCACTGAAATGATGATGCTTCACCTGGTGTGAATCTTACGAGTAGGTACAATGGTACCCCATGTTTTAAAAACAATTAAACACACTCCCTCAAAATTGCCGGGCCGACACTCTTGTTTGACATGCTTCTGGGTGACACTGTTGCTCTTGTGCGACAATCTTGTCGGACAATCTTCAATCTTGCTTATATAACATCTTAAAACGCATGGATCCGAAAGCTACCCCTTGTGCTACCACATTCGTATTACAATCTGTCCGCAACAGCGCAACTTTAGGGAGACACACCTTGCAAGCAAAGCCTTCAAAGCCCAAATCCCACACTGGCACAGCTTTAGCGTGAACACTTGCCGAGAAATGTCCGACCACACATTTGAAGAAGTCATGTTCTTACATAACTTTACAAGAATCAAGCCATCTCAAACCTCCTCCAACAGCTTCCCTTAATGGGAGGGCCACGGGCAACCAATTTCAGCCACTGCGGACGTTGTCAACGGCAGCAAAAGGTGTAGCATTGTCACGCGAACACAGCTCTACCGACTCTACCTCCAAACCCTGGAACCAATAGGAATAAGACGGGAACCTGATGCCATGCATCCAGGAACATCCTATTTAATTCTGGCATCAAAGCGCACAGCAGCGCTCCTGCACAAATGAGATCTTCAACCATAAACATAATCAACACACCACTTAGACTGCGAAACCTTCTTTGCCCTAGCTGAGTCCTAGTAGCCTAGTGACCGAAACCCTGGCTCCTAAATGGTTTCTATTTTGGATGCCCCAAAAAAATCAGGGGGACACCCTTTTGACAAAAACGACACCCGGAGTCTTTTTTGATTGGGGAGTGAGCCCCCGTGCCTTTTAATAGGTGGAAGGGATTAGCAAGTGGATGCAAGTGGGCAACAGAAAACAAAACACATCAAAGAACAAAGTCTGTGAACATTGAACCCTTGCTGCGAAACATGGAAGGCCAATGTAAATAAGCATTGCATACAAAGAGAACCAGTCACGCTTGCAAAAGGTTCATACCAACTCTGGCAACCTTGAATCTTCACCAATTGTTCCCGAAGCCACTGCCTCTGCTATCATCTTCGGCCATGTTTTGGCCGGTCCGAGCGGTGCAAAGTCCTCTGATGCCTCGCGAGTCCAACAACTGTGCTTCTCAGTTGCGCTCCATTGGGCGCTTTCCTCGTGGTGAAGACATGGCTTTGCATTCCAATGCTGGGTGTTCGGCGAAGACATTGCGAAGCGCAGTGGCCAAAGCTCCCACACGTTCCTTTTGTCCGAGACATGCGCGCCAATGTCTCGCCAATAAAAAGAGAGTGACCGGCAAATGTTGGAAGTACAAAGAGTGGTCAGTTTAGGGTGGATCAGTTTTGCCAGCGCAGGCTGGCATGCCTCACCTTGAAGGGAGTGGCCCTGGTGAAAATCGGCTGGGTGGCCATGGCTTCTGGTGTTGGTTACAAATATACCGACCTGCGTGACACTGGAAGCTGATGTGAACCAACAACAGCTTTGCAGGGGGGTCAAGACGGACCATATCTTGTCTCTAGCCTCCAACCTAGGTGGGTGTTTCTTGACATCGTTCTGCGACCTTACTTCTTGCCCACTCTGGGCTTTGATAGCATCCAAAGATATGCCGGGCAAAACAGCATGATGGAGCAGCACACTGGAAAAACAATGAACAACATATAAGCACCTAGAACAAGCGACCCTTTAATCAAGCCATTCAGCTACATACATTCAGTGACCTTCACCACGTGTGGTATACTAGTTTTAAGGTTTGAATTTCCTCAAAGATCCTCAAAGTACAGCTGCTGGTGCCCAAATATTACAGTGAGTCGAGGTCCATCTGGGCGAAACCGTCGCAGTTCAGTCCTCGATGGTTCCATCCTGACATTACCCCGGAAGGGACAAATTTGAACCAATGTAATGCAAGAAGTACTTCCAAAGCTCACAGCTGGATTCAACACAATACATTACAATACAGCACATGTCAAATCACTCAATGCATCTCGCTAAAGACCATCTACACAGCCGCTCAATTTGGTGCACACAAGTGATCGCAATCTTTGAAGCGTTCAGAGGCTCAACGTTTGGCTCATGAACGCAAGGAGGGAGTTGTCATTCCACCTGGAAATTCCTCCTGCTTCTCATTAAACCTTGACTTGTGACTTGTGAGGTGCTCCTCCAATGTTGGATGACCCTTCTCTGTGGCATTGCCATCAGGGAGGACCGGGAGTCACTGCTGTAAGTAGGTCTCATCGACGTCAAGGACATCCCAACTGTCGGCTCAAACCATTGCACTTCTGTTTGGATGTGGCACGCACATCTGAGCATGGCCTTTCAGGATTGCGACCTGGGATTCTGTATCCGCGTAGCGCTCCCCGTAGCGCTGCCTGGCCCGGTCCAGTGGGGGATCATAAAGTCGACGTAGCCACCACTTTGGACTCCAGCTCTGCTGTGAATTCTCGGCGGAGACGTCTCAACAGTTGAGCTTCCTTCGAACAACACAAACAACTCATTATGACTCATATGACCCTACAATCAACATCCGGAACCAAAAGGGTCCTGGGAGATTACATTGTTGCACCAGCATTGATTTTGAACACATGTTTGGGAGAAATGCCATTGCCACTCGCCCCCAACAAATTAGACACGGAACCCTTGAGAAAACGGAGCTCCATTGCAAGCTACAGTGGCAGCTACAGTTTTTCGTTTGGGCGTGGTGTGGCTATGTCTAGGACTGGCAGTCCAATTTTGTCCTCCACGATGATTGCATCCACAGCTTCATCTAGAGCCATGAATGTGGAGCCCGAAGCCTGGTGCTCTCAAAAGCAAAGCAAAGGTTGGGGAGGTACAAAGGATCACAAGCACACCTACTAGTATAGATCCGAGCAAGAAGAGTCAGCAGGTCAGGCAGCAAGAAGTCACAATCACAAGCATCAATCAAACTAGAAGGTCGCAGCCCTTTTCCTGAGGCCCCAACTTTTCACCCAAATCTTTGTTGGCCCACTGCCACCACCCGGGGCCTTTAACCTATATACACGTAGACATGCATATAAACATGCACACAATTCAGTGCAATTACATACATGCGCCTGAGTCTGCATGAGGCATATAAACAATTATCACAATGACTGCACCATGTATACATGATATATATATATATAATCTGAACATTTTGCGGTTGGATGGTATCACCATTCTTGTTTGCCCTGCGTCTATTGTGGATTTCAACAGTTCCCCCTTCTGTACGCATGGGTAGTCCGCATTGAGATGCATTAAGTACGACCCATGTGCATATTTCGGGTGCAGTAATGTCCTTAAAAGTCACTGCGTCTATTGGTGGTGGAGTAATTGAAACTAAATCAACAAATAACTTGCTGAAAACACACACACACACACAAACTACAGTATTTTACGGCCCAACCCCGCGAAACGATGTTACACTTCAGGGAATGCTCTTTACATCTCTTTACTATTCCCTCCTTCTTTTGAGTTTGCAAGATCCAACATTAATATATCCCCCTGTCATCCCCTGTCCCTCTTCACGCTGCTTTTCTGAAACCAGTAATTAAAGCTCAGTGCATGAATGTCCATCTCATCCGAGCAGCGCGTGATTCCAAAAGCTTCTTTTCTGCGCCCCATAGCCAGTCGCAAATGATTTGGCGGCTCTCGTGCTGCTGGCGACCGGTCAAGTAAATCCTTGAGGGCTGTTGCAATTCGAGTTGGTTCGTCCCTCCCTCCCTTGCTCTCGCTCTCGCTCTCGCTCTCTCTCTCTCTCTCTCTTGCTCTTGTTTTTGCGCACAAATGGCAAGAGGCATGGGAGTCATTGGATTTCTATCTGGATCTGAGTCTGAGTGTGCCTAGGCGGCACACCACAAGACATATAGGGATTATATGGGATTATATCAGTTTGCCTCAATTCATCTCAATTCATATCATGTTTTCTAACAGCACTTGGGTCCAGCGTCCATCTTGCATCATACTATATTGACATTAGAGGACATAGTGCCGCACAAACAAGAATCAATGGCTGCAAAGACCGCCAATGTAGGGGTTGCAGTGGATTCTTTGGCTCGGTCAACTCTTATGCGGTCCAGTCACCAAGGCTCTCGCTCTCAAGCTCCATGCTTCCAAGGAATTCAGCCCCAGGACCAATATTGATGCAAGGCTTCTCAGTCTGCTCACCTCATTGTCCACCATTGCACAAAGGGCAAAACCGCTGATGGAACCCTATGCCATTATGCGCAAAAACCGCTATGTATTGGGCAAATCTGGGCACGTCATCGTTATACAATTCCACAGCTGCTCGAAGTCTTGATACAGTCTCAAACAATTGAGACTCAATTAGGTGGGAGCATCGTTGGATAAAATAGACATAGAAAGTTGAATCAAAGGCCCTGATAAACTCATCGCAAACCTTTCCAGTCCTGATCTTGTCTTCGACTTTCAAACTTTCAACCTCCGCCTCGCTGGGCAGCTGGAAAACCAGCGGTGCTTGGAGGTTGAAGCCAAGTAATGAAAAGGCAGCCTCTCTCGCCTTCAGCAGGGCTTCAGCTGGATGACGGCCCAACTAAGTAGCAATTCCTCTTTCAATGACAAAGCTCTTGCAATTGGCGCCACATGAAACCACGACAGCAGCCTGGGCCAGGTGGTGATCTCGACGAGGCAGCAAGTTCTTGGGTCTGAGGACCAGGGTGGCCTTGGTGCGCCATCTGCACGTGCTACATGAAAGCCAAAAAATATCAACCCATTGCCGTCATAGCCTTCCAACCATTGAAAGCCCTCTTGTCCGGAATTTATCAGGTATTGCTCCACAGGTGTGAACTTGAGAGGAGGGAGACACGAAAGGTAGGACAGCGGGAAGAGAAGAGAACGCGAGAAGCAGGAACAAAAATGCAATGTTCGACATTGTGATTTATCCCCTCGGAGACCTTTCGTAAATCGTAAATATGTGCATATGCACTCTAATTGTTCAAACATATGCTCTGGAAATGTTCAAACAGATTCTTAGGAAAACAAACTTGCCCCATGGATCAGATCATCGGTGAGCATTGAATCGGAGCATCATAGGATTTGAACTATCCTGAAACCATAAGAGGCCCACGAAGACGCTCCCCAGGAGAGAATTGACGTGCTTCACAAAACAAACTCTAGGTATGTATCCCCTCGGGGAACACCTTTCGTGATTAGAATTTCATATGCACTCTTTCTAAATGTTCAAGAGGGTTTCAACTATCCTGAAATCATGAGAGGCTCACGAAGACGTTCTCCAGGAGAGAATTGAATTTAGAGGGGGGGGGTCTGTATTGAAAAATCAATTCCAAGGGGGCGGGGGGGGGGGGGTTTGAATTGAGTGATCAATTATTAGACCCGGACGTCCCAACACTTGCTTCGCAAGACAAACTCAAGGTATCCCCTAAAGGGCTACCTTTCGTGATAAACGCCTTAGATTGCCCTGCTACCTGGCAAAAACAAACCCGTAACAAACCCGTGTGCCAGGTGCCTGCACAATATTTTCCCCACAAAAGGCGCGGCCTCGTTGAATGGATTTGCTGAAGGCCTCCGTGGTGGAATCCCGTGTTGCACCAAAAGCTGAGCATCTGAAGCCTGCAGCGTCTCACAAGGAAGTCGCGGTCTTTGGATTGGTCGCTTGACACAGCTTGTTGAGTGAGAAAAGCCTTGACCGAAGAATGGCCAGTGACAAGCTCTTGTCTCTATTCTTCCTAGGGCCAGATTTTGAGGAGACTGTTCGGAACTCCGGTTGGCAGAACTCGCAATCCCTTCATACCTACAGGGAGACGCCTGCAAGACCCAAAGACTTTCAGGGGAAATTTTTTTGGCATGACAACACTACTAGAACCCCAGAAGACAAGCATTACATATATAATGCAAAACATAGTGTATCTATATATATATAGTACATGTAAACATTGTACAAATGCCCAAGGCAGGGTATAGGACATACACATTGTAACAGAAAAAAATGCAATTCGGCATGTTATGCATGGTTGTATTTCCTGCTGGGTTCCTTGGTTCAAAAAGGAAACGACATCAGACCTTGGGAGCATGCAACAGCGTGCCTCAGAATACAAATGTTGCAGTTCTTCACCGGGAATGATATCGCGGTCAGCTACCAGGCCCACAGCATCTTCAAATTCCTCAGCCCAAAAGAAGCTCACACAGGAATCTTTTTGCACTCTTCAGCACGATGGCTATCAAGACTCCAAGATCTACAGTACAAACCTAAAATCCTGAAGCTTTCAAATACACCAACTTCTACAAGTGTTTGAGGCAAACAGGAGAATGGCCCGCGCCTCCAGGCGGCAATTCCACAGCGGGTCTTCACCTGAGAATGAGGCGTGGCCTCTGCCACTCTGGCCATTACAGTACCCCTTTTATCATGCCAATTTCAGAAGGCCCGGACACAACTGATCCTCCATGAATGATCTTTCATGACAAAAACCAAGTGAAAACTGTCAGGCATCAAAACACATATCAACTATCGTTTTGAAGCCAGGCAAGCTGGCTCAAAGCGAAAGGACGCAATGGCGAAATAGAATACCGCATGCCCCCACCCAAATGGCTTTGGGGCTGTTGGAGCCCACGATCTTCACGAACCCGGGCTCGGTGTCAGCGAGTTGTGTGGCTCTTTACCAGGCTTGATGCGTCAAACTTACATGATCTTGCATGTGCACGTATGCAAGAGAGATAGCCATCTGAATGGCACGGCCAGTCCCGGGTTGCAATGTCCGTGATGTGCTAACAAAAGACATGCCTCAGTCGAATTCCTTGCGGAGAATCGGTAGCTGCAATTTGCAGTCGTTGACCCTCAAATGCTGGGCAAGCGGCGAGTCGACGGAATCCAGTGGTTGAAGAGATCCAAATATGGAACAAGCGCCAGGGAGTCCCTGGCAGGGCAAGCTTTAATTTGATTTCACTCCTTGATCAGGCTTGACCTTTTTGCGTTCACCTCCTGCTCCACACTGCTATATATTTGCACCTGATCCTTTGTTGAGCGGGCTGAAGTCAAATGAAGAAGCGGGTGCAAGTCTCAATGCGCAATCCACCAGTGGGGCCTGAGAGCAAAGGCTCGCGTCCAAACCATGCCGAGTGCCCAAGGGAAGTCAGCCTTGGCAGCGAAGGCAGACCTGTGTGACGTGCAGGCCTTGACGGGTCATATGTGTGGTAATGAACATGCTTCAGAGCGAAGTATCCAAAAAACAAACATGAGAACCATGGCAGCCAAATGCCCAAGTAGTTGACAAAGCCTTGACGTCACCACAGCAACAAGTGTCCACATTGAATGGCATACACAGCATTGATTTGATGCTTCTGCACACTTGAGACCCCAATATACCTTCCTTGATCACTTCTCATTGGCTATGCAGCGGCAGATGCAGAAGTGCCAGTGCCTTGGAAGTATGGCTTGGCCTGGAGCCGAACATGCAGATGCTGGTGTGCTCCTTGTGGATCTGTAACATGCCTAATTAGAAACCACTCGTACGGACCCTCTGCGAGAGATTTTTTTCACATTAGCCTGGCTCTCGGATTGGCAGCGTTGCCCCTGCAACCGGCTAGATTTTATGTTTGGACTCTTCTGGAAAAAACATGCAAATGAGAGTGGCGGTGTGGAACTGTGCGGCCACACTTTGTTCATATTAAACTGCAACTCCTGTGGGAGCTTAGGATAACAGCATGCTGTGGGCCTGTGACAATTTTTAATCGGTCCCACCCCTTCTGGCGATCCTCCATGTAGAACTTCCGCAGGCTGCCACACAACATGTCCTCTGGCCACTCGTGTCGCAAGGGATGCAGTGAAGGCAGTGCTGGTAGCAGCTGGATGTATTCAGAAAATGTTGAGGCTGCACCTCCGGAACGGGATTGGACAGTTCTCAAACTAACCCTCTGAAAAAGCACCCAGGGAGCCTTGACGGCAAGCTTGATCATCTCAGAGATGATCTATATTCTATAACTTGTTGACATCATATATGAAGGAGTAACTTGTTGACATCATATATGAAGGAGCGCTAGACTCTGAATGGATCCTACACTGAAACTCGGTGCGTCGGTGGACTTTGCTTGGATACTCTCCCCCCAGGGTCATTGTGTGACGCCTCGGCTGCGTTCTTCCAGAAGCTTCTTCGCAAGCTGGGCTGCAGGGACCGCTGGTGATGCGACCCTGAGGGCACGTTCTCTTCGAAGAACCTTACCCCTCCAAATAGGTTCGATGATAACGGTATGCAGGGGTCCATGTACTTTGACGAAGCATGCATTTCGCACCATAGGATGGCTGAAACTTGCCAAGTATGGTCAATGGGTTGTCCGCAACTACTCTTGGTGAATCTCTCCAGCCTGTCCTACGTACGGTCAGTGTGCTATCAGCCAAATCCATCTGATTCCGCAAAGACTTTGAACCTCTATTCGGAAACCAACATTGCAGCCTAAAGCATATGGGCAATTTGAAGTCGCAAACAAGAGCATAAAGCACAGCAACACGCACCTCATTCTGAAGCTCGCCTCGGAAACAAGGAACATATCAAGTGCTTGCCAGGTTTCAAGGGGATCTGCAAACACATAGAGCTTGGCACACGCAGGACCAGCTCACCTTCCTGGAATACAATTCGCAACGGAACCCATCGCAAATCTTCACCGTCCGTGAAGAGTGACACACATGTCAAACAACTTGTTAAACCGATTGTCAGCACAAAGCCAGCGTCAGCTCGTACTATCTGATACAAACATATGAAATAAACATACAGTAAATAAACTATCTTCAATGCTCTTCTACCAACTGCATTCTCAAAACTGGAAGTCTGAGTCCTTGCCGGTCCTTGAAGCATTTCTGAGCAAACACTGCCACTCCGAGACCAGCACTCCGGTCTGACACTTGCATGGCCTTGGTCCCGTCCAGAACCGCACCACGCTGGCGCAGGAGGGATTCAAAGGACAGGAACTCCTGGAAGAAAAAGCGTGGTAAGAGTATCCCAAAAAGAGCGCTACTTGTTCAATGTAGAAAGAAGCACCAAGATTCGCCTTGGTGACTATATATATATATATATATACCCGCGGACTGAAAGTTAGAATGGGGCGGCGAATCCCAAAAATTTTCCCCCTCAGTTAGAATGCCAAAATTTTATGAAGTTAGAATGCCTCCCTCTAGTCGCTCATAATTTCCCCACCGGCGCGCAGGAAACAACACATAGAATGCAGGTGTTTCACCGTTCTCAAAGTATATTGGCACTTGTTGAACTCCGGTCATATGAATGGCAAGGAAAGCATGTTTGCCCATATTTGTCCCACCTGCACAGCAGTAACCACAGATAGAATGCCTAAATTTTATCATGTTAGAATGCCTCCCTGTAATTGCATATAAATTCCCCACCAGCGCGGAGGAAACAACACATAGAATGCGGGTATTTCAAGGTTCTCAGAGCACTCAAAGTACAGTTGCACTTGTTGACCCCCGGTCACATGAATAGCAAGAGGGCCATGTTTCCCCATATTTGTCCCACCTGCACAGGAGCAACCAC